CATCGAACTCATCCGCTCCGAGAACACATGCCACTCAAATTACACGAAGATTCCAACAGCGAACACAATCCCGCAACGCCTCCTGACGTTCGACCCGGTCTGGGGCGAACTGAAAAACGGAAATCACACACGGTCCGTGCGGTGCGCTGAACCCGCAGGCGGTCTGTATGAAAGACGGCCGCTGTAGCGTCGGCTATCCACGCCCGTATCTAGAGGCCACAGAGCTATCCGCACCTACCCAAAGTACAGGCGGCGCGCGCCGGAGGACGGCAGTCAGCGTGCGCGGACGCCCGGACGGCGCGGCGTCGAGATCAACAACCGCTGGATCGTTCCCTACAATCCTCACATCCTCCGCGCGCTAGACTCGCACGTCAACGTCGATCTTATCACGCACGCGATGGGGGCGATCCGCTATTGCATCAAGTATGTCACAAAGGGCTCTGACAGGATAATGTTCGCCGTACAGCCCGACGGCGTGGTTGACGAGGTGACCCAGTACCGGAACAGCCGGTACCTGGGATCCATGGAGGCAGCGTGGCGGCTGCTGGACCGACCAGTCCATGTCCACCATCCGCCGGTCCAGCGGCTAAAGCTGCATCTCGTTGCGGACGAGAAGCGTCGTCTTCCTCGACGACGTAAATCTGGAAGCGGTAATCGCGGGCGAGCAGGCAAATCCATCCATGCTCACAGCCTTCTTTGAGCTGTGCCAGCGTGGCGCGTTGGCAGCGACACTCATCTACACAGAGGTGCCGCGATACTACACATGGCGGGTGCGACGCGGCCGGGGCGCAGACGCCCGTCCGGCCCACTGGAAACGCCGCCTCCGTGGCCAGCCTCACCCCGAGGTGCCGGGCGTGTTTGTCTCTGAGACTTTGTCGCGCGTGCACACCACGACGCCGCGCGCGGGCGAAGTTTTCTTTCTTCGCCTGCTTCTCCACAGCGTCCCTACTGAGTCCTGATGGCGGCTCCTGGCGACAGCAACCAAGAGCTGTACAAGGTGCTGCACAAGAAAGCTCCAACCCAGCCCATCCTGAAGCCAATATAGACCTAGTTACACAGCTTTGGCTTCTCCTTCCCCCTAAATCAGTGGTGGAATGTATAGCCTGTGTGGTGAATGACGTATATGGACAGCACCGCCAGCTCAACAATGAGAACACGGCTGCTAGAGTTGATGATCAGGTGGAACGGCCCTGATGTTCATCACGCTGGAGAAATCTCACTGTTGTGCAAAGGAGATTCAGCAATCAACATCTTTAGTGGCAACAACATGAGCGGTAGCAAAGAAAAACGAACTGCTGTGCGAGCCAAGAAAGGTGTGGCAGGTGGCACATCGGCGACTTCCTTTATCGGAAAAGAAAAACGCTTTTTAGGGGCGGAACCCGTCAATCGCCGGCGACACGCAGCCAAGCAAAGCTAAGCTAAGTAGCGAAAGCAGGTGGGCAGAGGTTTAAGCACTGTCAGACGGGAAAAACAAAACACAAGTGAATGAGGTAACGAGGCGTGAGCACGTTCTTATGCAAAAGCAGTCTCCAAGGGAAACCACAGTCCTGCTAGACCAGGCTGGGGTCAGCGTGCGCACATACAGTCTTCCGTGCCAATGATTTTATTTTCTGCATTCACAGGCGAAGTAACTTGCTACATGGATAAACGCGGAAAGATTTCCGACTACCAGCGGGTCGTGCTAGGGCAGATAAACAAGTTCATCAACGAGAAAATCCAAGACTTACGCCGCAAGACAAGTCGTGATCAGCGTCCGCGAGGGCTCGCTCCGGAGACTGAAGTTAATGTGGTCGACGAGAGTGAGTGGTTTGTTTGTTTGTTTGTTTGTTTGTTGGGGGTTAGGGAGTCAGGGACGTGCCGACTCAGAGGTCATTTTGCGTCCGTAACTGAGGTTTTATTGGTTACCTATCGGTGGCAATTTCATTTGAAATTCAAATGGTTCATGAAGTGGTACCAATTAGTTACCTATTGGTGACCAATTGAACACATTCCAAATGGAACCTCTTTGGGACCATTTGGAAAAGCGTTCAATAAGTCAAATGTTTTTTTTCCAATTTGGAACCATTTGGTAATCTCCAATGGAATTTTTACTGGGTATGTTTTAACGTATCCCGGGATAGCTTTGTGAAAGTTTCGTGCTGCCTCTGATCAAGAGGGCAGAAAAATTATGGTACACTGCTGCGTACCCCCAGCTTGCGGCTAGAAGGCTGCTGGTTCTTCAGCGATGGGTTAGAGATGAGGAAGATTTTTATCGCGCGGGCGACACTGGTTATGCCGCCCCCATTTTCCACTCCCCCGGACGTCCTGAGGGCCCTGACGGTGAATTTGCTTTAGAAAGGGCTGACGACTTTAGAGGAGCTGTCGGCTGGCCGCCGACGCGACGCCCGATGCCCTCAAGAGCTAGAGGCCGCTGCGACCGAACCCAACAGTAGGATCAGCCAGCTGGAGTCAGATGCTCGTGGTTTGCAGCTTCAGGTTGCATCTCTGCAGAAGCAGGCATCCAGCCAGACTGACGCCTGGAGAGCCACTATACGGTGGGAGCTAGCGGAGGCCGAGCGGCGTCGAGATACAGTAATGGGGTAAAAGTATTCATTTGTGTTTCTTTTTAATGGACACTATTTTTTAAGCTTGCAATCCATAAACTAGGTAAGTTATATTCTGTTCATCTTGTATTTTATCCATATTTTTGCATATGCAGTGTCAATAAACTCTTTGAACTATCTACTCTACGCGGACCTGGCCGACTTCCTCGGGGCCGCGTACGTCGATGTCGAGGCGGTGGTGTCAGACGCCAACGTCTCGGATGAGTGCCAATGCAATGTTAACTTATTACTGGTACACTGATAGTCTCAGGTAAATAATTTCTTGCTCTCTTTCCATACACGGCTCTGCTATTTAGTCAAGTGGAGTTGTTTGTTGCAATGTATATTCACACCACATAGATATATAGTTCACTTATGCACATTTTCGCACCAGAGGTGCAAGAATCGAGCTCCTTCTCAACTCGCTTATCGACCACTTGGAACAGCGGGCCCAAGGGCAAGATCGGAGGGGAAACCAAAGGGGCACCAAGAACCACAACATCGCTCTTGCGATGCTAACTCTGAAGGCCGCTGGTGATCTCACGGAGATAAAGCAAACTGGTCATGTGGATCATACCTCAGGGAAAGTCATGTAGATCGAGAAGCTCCTGGCCAGCAGCCTTCTCAGGGTTGTGGTACGTGGTAAGAAAGGGAGGGGCGTGCCCGTTCTGTTTACTGAGGCCATGCGCTCGAGTGTGGATGTACGAGTCCCCAGCATTGCTGTTCACTAGCCTGTGTGAGTCACTACTTGCAAAAAATGAACATAATTGTCACAATACCGAACAGATATGATCGAGACATGTTCGGCGTACCTACCTACTGAGGTCATGCTGCTGTACGTGATCTCTATCGGCGTGAGTGAAATTATAGCGTGCTACTTCACTTCGAAACAGAAAGGAGATGTAACTTTTTTAGCAATATCTACTGTTTTGCAACTCATAGTGACATATTTTCACACAAGCGCAACAAAAATGGCACAATTGCAGTTTACAGTGTCCCTACTTCCATAAAAAGAAGTGAAAAACGTAAAAGCCATGAGATACAACAATACAGCTCAAGCCCCGGATCCTTGTCTCTATTAGGGCCGCTCCTTCGAAGCTGGAGGCCAATTTCCTCACGCTCTGTCCTCTTTTCCCTACAGCTTTGGAGCAAAAAATCTTGGCGACTTTGGGCATGGTACTTGGTCGGCCGGAGCGCTCCATGTCGGCCAGGGATTTACCCTCGCAATGGCGTCGCCACCATCGAAAGAGAGTAGTCCGGTTGACTCCGAACCGTTCTGCGACATCCCACTGAGCCACGCCTGCCTCCAGTAATCCAATGGTGCGCGAGCGCACAGCATCGCTGACCTCCGTGCCTGGCTGGCACGGAGGTCAACGCTGGTCGGCATGTACCCCGTTAACGGCGCCGTCTGCGGCGGCGGCGGCGGCGGCACCAGCAGCCCGCCGTACCGCTCCGCCGGCGCGCAGACGGGCGGCATGTAGTACAGCGGGTCCAGCGGCGGCGGCAGCAGGCCGCCCACCTCCAGCACAGGAAAGTCGCCGTAGAAGGTGCTCGTCAGCGGGGGGTAGCTGTAGGTGAACGGTTCACTGGGACCCATAAGCTTGGCGGGCTGTTTGACGGTTTCCACGCGGCGGGGCAGGCGGCAGGTCGAACACGGCCCGACAGTCGGCCGGTCTCAGCACGGCATTCAGCAGTGGTGAGCTGCGCAGCTGGTACAGTGCCGAGGAGAGGCGCAGCTCTCCTTTCAAAAGTCTTGATATTGATATTCCAAAAACAACCAAAACGCATTGGGAGCCCTAGAACCACGGATTCTCGCAAAATCGGACAGGAACAGGAAGTGTTATCCGTGTTATCATTCTGTAATTATCTGCTTGGAAGCAGATAATTGCCATGAATTCTAATGTTAGGTGCGCCGTGCAGACGCGTTTTGCATGCTTGAAAGCTGTGTTTCAGCATGACGTGGGCACTATTCTGTGACAGGGTAGTCGATGAGTAATAACAGGCTGCGTTTATTTCACCCCCAGGTGCTCATTCATGCCGACGGCGGCAGAGTCGGTTTGCTGCGGCAACCAGCGTTGCACAACGCTGCTGGAGGTGAATCGTATTATTAACGTGTTATTGTTATTTTTATATTCGACTGCAAAGGAATAATTTTCAATACCAACAAGTAGTGTAAGCGATCCTATGTGGCTTGACTATCCAATGAACTGGAATCGATTTTGACAGCGTGCGCCTGATTATCTACTCTTAACTGTAATAAGAGATTCCTTATTCTCATTTGATACATTAATAATAACTATTGGCTGCCAAGAAATGTTTTAATGCTCGGACACGGACACTGTTTCGGAAAGCTGTCAACGGATGCGTGGTCTGTGATGATTAAACAAATCATACTTTCTCACAGGAGTTCCACGTCGTCGTCAACGACCCAGTTATGCTGGAGCTTGGCCGGCTCCAGCATAATGAGCGCTGGGGCGAGCCGGCTCCAGCTGCCGGCGACGTGGAGCTCCTCCACAAGCAGCTCCGGTACCAGGCGTACCGGCAGTACGCTTTGTGGTGGTAAGTGATGGCACCATTATATATAACTACTGAGGTTGCATTCGAACATTCGATTTGTTTTTGTCTGGTATATCTGCAATTGATTGTTTTGTGCATGACATTTGAAGCAATTATGCGGTGGTTTCATTTCGTCCTGCCGTCTATCATGGCAATTACTATGAGCTAACCACAACCAATTGTAATGTAGGTACGTTTGATATGATATTCATACACTAAAATACAGATTTACACCTATATACATAGTATATCTCAATTCATCGCGTAAATGTGCACGCCTAACCAGTAGACGGTAAGCGAAGTGTTCGTGCCGGCGCATGTGTTCAGGCATAAACATACAAACTGTTCTCGTTTCCAGGTGGGGCACGCTGGGCCGGTCCCAGCGCCGGGTGATTCCCGCCTGCGTGGTCTGCGCCGTTCGGCGCGCCCACCCCAGCCCGCAGGGCTTCTACGTGGGGTTCAATGCCATCCCGATGTAAGTCTAGTCCATAGTCCATTGTGGCTGTGAATTGTGATTTTGTAATCCAGAGGAAACGTTTCGTGTCGTGTTAGGCCGACTACTTTACGAGTTATCTCAGGAGCTCTCATCATTCCATATCAATGTGATACCGACTATCTTACGAGTTGTCTCACCAGTCAGCACAGTTGGTTACTATGCGACGACCACGCGTCGGATACAAGCTGCGTTACTCATGTCGCTGCAAACATTGTGCCTGTGAATTGTGATTTTGTAATCCAGAGGAAACGTTAGTACATATTTCATGTCGTGTTAGGCCGACTGCTTTACGAGTTATCTCAGGAGCTCTCATCCATATCAATGTGATACCGACTATCTTACGAGTTGTCTCACCAGTCAGCACAGTTGGTTACTATGCGGCGACCACGCGTGGGACGTACTCGTTGGTACTCGTTGCGCGCCCGCGCGTGGTGCTCAGGTCGTACGTTGCGCGCCTCAGGTGGTACGGCGCTCAACTGTGATACAATTGCGTTGTTTTCACATCGATTTGATCGTTTTATGTACATTGTTCGACCTTGTTTATTGGGGCTTAAGGGCGCGCCGACTACAAGGTCATTTTGCGAGGTGGATCGCACCATCCTACTGTTATTGAATAATGTATTGTATCAAATTGTTGTGTCGGATTAACCTCGCGTTCGGAGTCTCCCGGACGACGAAGATTTTACGTCGTCCGGCCAGTCCCGTCCCAGTACCGCAGCCAAGCCCCCGCTGACCTTGAACGGGGTTGGCCGAAAGATGTAGAATCTTCGTCGTCCGAGAGACTCCGAACGCGGGGTAAATTTCACGCATCCGTTACCAGGTCGTGGAGAATCAGATGGCACGCCCAGAAGAAGAGCGAGAGGCTGTCTTGAAGCCTTTCGCTGCTGGTGACCGGTACTCTCTCACGCATGAGTCGACGTCCATACTGTATGGTCTCCATGCTCTGTTAACCGAAGCCGTCTTGCAGCGGGAACTTTACCTGGGAGAGGCTTCCACTATCTAACGAGCATACCTCACGCCAGGTATTCTCTGCTCTCTGTTTCTCTGGGTGCAACAGCTCTAAACCCATGCGCAGTCGACCTCAAGAGGATCTGCAGTGAGCTCTATAACAGGTTCGTGGTTAAAGCACATGCCTAGGTGCAGCAAGTGATCATCTTCACTGAGGCGCTCGCCCGACACTCAGCCAGGCGAGAAGAGGGCGTAAAGAAGACCGGTGAGCGGAAGGGATCCAGCAACCTGCCGCTGATCAAAGCCATGCCCAATGTCTGAGGTCAGGTGGTCTGATACCTGAAGCAGGCTCCACAGAAAGGATGCGGATGCCATGGTGGCCTCTTACAAGATATCCGCACGTAACGAGTGAAGAAAAGCAAACTAGGCAGTAGGCAAGCAGGACCTGTTCCAAATGCTCTGGCAGTGTGTGGAGCATAACATCAAACCATAGCTCCACCTGGTCACCTGCCTGTGGCTGATTTCGCCGTGCGAAAGCGTAGTTGAGAGTATGGGCTCTGTCGTCGCGGACAACGTATTCGGGGAACACAGGAACCTGAATCATGCAAACACTGCGAAGGAACTGGTTGTTCGATGGAACGGCCCAAATCTAGCGAGTGCTGATGCACTGATACAGGCCGTAGTGCGCTCAGTGCTCACCCCCAGAGATTTTCAACTTCGTGCGGAAACAGACGCAGTCGAAGATCGACAGGGAAAGTTCTGTAGTGTCGAAGCACAAGAAGTGTCCGCGACCATCGGCTTTCCTTAAAATCTCTTCGTCGTTCCGCTGTCCAATGCCGGGTTGACGATCAGTATCCACACACCCCAGCGCAACCGCATTCTAGAAAAAGCGTGAAGATAAACTATGTTGTTTGCTATAAACTTAAAACATTGTTTGCTATTGTATGGTATGGTTCTCCCTTGAATCGACTTATTTGTGAACGAGACTTGCGTTCTTGATTACAGAAAAATTCACAGAGCTGGGTGCCTGGGACAGCAGCCTGGTTCATGTTCGAATCGGGGAGCCTTTGGCTTCTGGATATTGAAGGCAATGATGTGAAGCGTGTTAAAGGACAGGGTCTGTTGTGTTGGATGCTGGAGGGTGGAATGTGTTTGATGTGAAGCCCGTTGGCGTCTCCGGGAGGTAGAACTGCTTTCTGAGGTGGAATTCCTTAAGATGCAGGTCAGTCTAGCTCGAAGTTTGGAGGCCGAGCCGACACCCCTTGCGAGCGTCGCCGTCGCGTACCAGTGAGGCCGCACACCAGCAAGAGGATAACACCACAACTCTGTGATACACCGCAAGGCCGTGTATCTGCTGGATCGCATATACAAATTAACTAACTCTGTCCGTTTTATCCGTTGTTTTATCCGTTGGTAAGAAGCTGACCGTTGTTGTCCGCTTCTTAGCCCCTCGAAATGGCGATGCCAATGGGAGTCGGAAAAATATCCGTTCTCCTCTGCGAGGACCCTCATAATCAACACTTTGAGGATCACATGTCGCGGCAAAGTGGCGCAGCAACATTATAAAAAAAAAAACATGTGGTAACTTTGACACCGCCTCTTCTGAGTTGGGGTGTCCAGACACATATTAGTTTAAAACATATGTTTCGTGCCTGCGGTGCTGATGGTGTATGATTGGAAAGGGTGTAGAGCCTCTATAATAATGTGATTCCGGCATTGACGGACCAGCAATATACAGACACCTCTCAACGCTACAGACCAATTGTCGCTAGAATTGGTAAACTGATTGGGGGTGAAGATGTGGAGAACAGAAGCAAGCCAATGGACTTCAAAATTCATCTCTTTCAGCCACGCGTGCCCTGTTCACTTTCCCTTGCATTGTGTTTGATGTTGCGTCAACTAAGGCCAAACGCCGGGTGAGTCGAGTAACGCCAAGAATGCCTCTCGCGAAGCCGCCGAGCAATGAGGTAGAAAAAAAGGATGGAGGGCATTGATATCGCTGATCAAAAGACACGTACTCAAGGAACAACAATACACACAGATTGCTGGGCAGCTTATAATCGCCTGAGGGAGTACAGCTATGAACACTTCGTGATAAATAATGAGAACTAATGAGAACGCCGGCTCTCCACGGCACATCTCGGCCATCGTGCTGGAGATCGAGGCCGACTGGGACCCGGTGTCACCGCAGTTTGTAAAGTACATTGACGACCTATGCGCTCCAAAGGAGGAGTGGGCCCTTTGTTTTCGGGACAGTGCCCCGAACAGGGGTAACCACACAAACAACGTAGTGGAGGCAGCGTTTAGAGTCCTGAAGGACTCGGTATAAACAGGAAGACACGTCTTCATGTCCACCCTCCCAATTCAGGTCTCACGCTAACCCGCGCCCCACTTGTGGGCGGGAGGGGGATGAGCGGGCCCATGACGACAAACTTCATGCAGCTGAGGACCACCGGGAAGCTCTCCACCCTTCACAACTTCGGCGTTGCTGCCGGCGGGCCGGATCGGCGTCCAGCCGACGAGCGTCGCGCGTGTCGGACCTCCACCTCACCGAGAGGGGCCGCGGCAGAGTCAGCGCCGGACAGCCCACAGCGCAGAAGCGCGCTGGACTCACCGATCACCGGTATGCCACCAGCTCTGCCCGGCGCTCCTCATAGCCTCAGTACCTCTGTGGGCACCAATCGCTCTTTGGGGCACTAAGTGCATATACAAGGTTGACACCACGGACTTAGCGGCGGGCTAAGATCCAGTTTTTTTTTTTTGCTGGATCTGACGTACTGCCACTGTTTTCAAATTTAGATGGCCCTGTATGACCTCACATGGAGGGTCTCCCTCCTTATCTGTTTCCCTTTCTCTTAATTCTAGCGACAAGATTAGTAACACTGATCAAGTCGTTCCACCCCGACCATGGGGCTCAAACATCTCTGTGCAGAAATGAGTTAGCCGACTACTTGCCGCCAACTCAGCCACCACAACGCGGCGAAAGAACTGATCGTTCGCTGGAATGCACCCGATGTATTTGCCACCGACGAGTTGATTCGTGCAGTGCTGGAATGGCACCGCTTCGAGTTTGTGCGTAGGAACAATAATATCATGTCCACCCTAGAAGGTACCGTTATTAGCCGACACCTTCACCGTAATCAACCTGATGTTCGCTTGACCTTCGAGTTCGTGGGCCACCTGGGAATTTCGGGAAAGTCGCAAGAAAGAACAAAGTATCCAGACACTTCAAGGTTCTGGAAAAAGGCAGGTGGCCAGAAAGATTGTCATGGAGTTAGGCGATCTTTCCACCGAGGCCCAGAAGAAGCGGGTGACAGTCTCAGAGGTGTGGACAGTGACACAAGTGAACACTCCCGTACCTAGTCAGCGAGCGACACCCAGAAAAATAGCACCACCTGGAGGGCTGCCAGAATGGGCTTGTACGATGCTTCATGAAACAAACACACAGAGGTTCGCACAATGTTTGAGACTGTCCCTCTGGAGATACTAAATCGGACAGATAAATCAGTGTGACCAAAGTTGTGTCTCTGGTCACACTGATTTATCTCAAATCCGTACGCATTTGGATAAAAGTCGGAAAGTCGATATACTGGACATCGATGACATTGACTGGAGTGATTAATTTTTATAATAGCGCGATGAATTTCACTATCATTCTAATTGTCTTCAGCCTCCTTGTTCCCTGCATTCGCGCCGAATGCAGTGCTCAGGAGGTTGCCAATATAACGACGCCTACTTACGCAAGAACTATGCGCAAACTGACAGCTCTATTCGGATCTGTCAACAATTTTTCTTCCGGCACACTCGATCATCTGCGTAGAAATACGCTGAAGATCGTACGCCGATTCCGGCGCAAGACCCTCAATACGGCCTTTAATCAGTGTTGAGGCAGTGGTAGTATTTGACACTGCCTGTTTTGGTTTGAAACTCCCAAAACAAACAATGTTATAAAAAAGTTGTGTCTCAGCCTTATCAGGAATAACAATATCTGGTCTTCTAGTCAGTACTTCTTCCTTCTGTCCATAATGCCTAAAATCGCACATGCTAACATAAGTTACAAAAAACACTTGTGACCATGCCACAGTCCTACAAGTTCAAGAATTGTAGGACAACACTGGACTGTACTGAAATTCGCATTCAGAAGCCAGATGGCTGCAATGAGAAGTCCAGTACTTACAGTGCCTTCAAGTCAAACAACACCTTTAAAGTCATAGTAGGAGTAGCACCAAATGGAACGACAAATTGCATTAGTGATGTCTATGGTGGAAATGCCTCAGACCGCCACATAGTTCAATCAAGTGGCATATTGGAGCAACTGCAAGGCCTAAATGTGCCCATAAGATCGTCAAAGCTATCATACTCCTAACGGCGCAAGCAGCGAAGGAGAGTAAAATTCTGGACCTGGACAGTGGACACGCAAAAATGCCGCGGTTGGTTTTCTC